TCAAAATACATTCCAGAATCGTTGGGGTGGGATGGGGTTTGATTTGGGGCGCTTTTTTTTTGTTTGTTTGTTTTTGTTTCTTTGTTTTGTTTTAAGGTACATTCATGTATGAAAGTCCAAGTACTTTTCGTTTTGGTTTACGGATTGCCAACCTCAGTTCTGCTGAAAAGAGACAAACTCAGGGGGTGGGGTGGGACGGGGAAAGGGGGGATGGAGCAGAGGGAGGTGCCTTGAAGGCGAAACACAACCGAGCATGGAAGAGTAGCAGCAGACAAGCGTTGGACAGCAGGACCCTGAAGAACGTGTGGTCGCTCAGAGCAGAGCGAACAGGGACTGAGCACGTACTCAACGGCTCTGAGGGTGCCTGGGAATCCAAAATTCACTCTGCACCTCACCCAAGCAAACCACCAAGCGAAGGGACACGCTCCAGAGATGTTCTTTCAGGTCGACATTTCTTCCATGCCTGCAGACGAGAACTGGCATCCTTGGGGGAAAGGAGAAACGCCGAGTGGATTTCTCTTACCTCCCCGCGCCCCTCCCGCGCCCCTGCCTTCACCTCAGCACCGTCCTGAGACCACAACACGGACGTTTCCTCACTGTGTCCAGTAACTCAGCAGATTGGCTCCTGCCGCTCAGAGACTTTGTGTATTTAATGCTTCTAACCCGTCATCCCTAACACCTCCATATACCCACCTGGGGAATATCTACATAGCACTATAGGACATTCCTTATTCCTAGTAACTGCGGATATGTTGCTTCTGTGTTTGACTCATAGCCATTTTGCTCCATGTGTATGCCTGCGTGTGAGTACGTGTGCGTGCGTGCCTGCCTGCGTGCGTGTGTATATATATAATCGCACCATAATTTATTCAGCTATATGGAGTAGTATAGTAGAAAGAGAAACTGGTATTTGCTTTAACTACCTGCTGCCTGTAGGTCTCTCTCTGTAACTCAGGCATAACTGTTATACATTAAAAAAACCCAACAAAAAAACCCATGGTTTTGGGTGGTTTGCTTAACTCGCTCTGCAGTGCTGTCAAGCACGAGGGGAAACCCCAGTACATCAAAAATATTCAGACATGCGTACAACCTACAGGTGTTTTTGCTAAAAAACAAAATCCTGGGCTTCATTCGTTCATGAAAATGTGGAAAAGCTAGATAAATAAATCATAGAATCACAGACTGGTTTGGGTTGGAAGGGACCTTAAAGATCATCCAGTTCCAACCCCCTGCCATGGGCAGGGACACCTTCCACCAGACCAGGTTGCTCCAAGCCTCATCCAGCTTGGCCTTGGACGTTTCCAGGGATGGGGCATCCACAGCTTCTCTGGGCAACCTGTCCCAGTGCCTCCCCACCCTCTCTGGGAAGAATTTCTTCCTGATATCCAATCTAAACCTCCCCACTTTCAATTTAAACCCATTACCCCTTGTCTTGTCACTCCCTGCCCTTGTAAAAAGTCCCTCCTAGCTTCCTTGTAGACCCATAAATAAACCCTTTCACTTCACTGTGACTTTTCAAGAGGGAAGAACAATTACCTGGCCTGTTCTAAATACAACCATTTCTTTATGCATTCATGTTCAGCAAGCTATTGCGCGGGCAGAGGAAGGCAGGCTGCGCAGGCCAGGTTGGGACCAGGCTGCTGCCTTCACTCCTAGCTCTGCAGGCACCTGGGTTTCGTTAGAGGCCAAAGCGCAGCCATCAGCAAGCGGAAAAATATTTT